CGTTTGAGGCCAGGCTGAACTAAACAATGAGACCCTGTCGTAAAATAAAATAAAAACAAGTTAAAAGGTGGGCTGGGAGTGTGGCTCAGTGAAAAGGCTCGAGGTTTAATACTCAGCATCACAAAAAATAATAATAGTAAAATAAATCTGCAGCATTAAAATTGCCACTGAGATAAAGCAGAAATAGCACCAGCAGGTTTACATCTGGTCTTGTGTGGATGCTGGTACTAGGTCAGACTGTTCTTCCCAGGGAAGCCGAGGCAGGAGGATCACCATGAGCTTGAGGCTGGCCTGGGCTGCATAGTGAGATCCTGCCCGCCCCCCACCCCATCAAAAAACCCTAAAACAAAAGATCTCACTGTCTGTTGAGCAATCATTGGTAACGTTTCTGTTTTTATTTCCATTTTTTGTTTGTTTTTGAGACAGGGTCTCACTATTTAGTTGAAACTGACCTGGAACTCACTATGTAGCCCAGGCTGGTCTCGAACTCGCAGTGATCCTCCTGCCTCAGCCTCTGGAGTGCAGGGATTATGACTTAAGTCTCTTCATCAATTATTATTTTTTAAAATTTCTGGTACTGGGGATCAAATCCAGGGCATCTTGCTCGCTAGGCAAGTTCTCTCCTCTGAGCTCTTTCACACCTTTGTAACAATTTTTTTTTCATGTCGAGGCAGGGTTTCTAAATTGTCCAGGCTGGCCTTGGCACAGCTGGGACCCTCCTGCCTCGGCCGCTAGAGTAGCTGCGATTGCAGATGTACAGCACTACGCCTAGCCTATATTTTAAATTTTGAGACAGGGTCTCACCAAATCACCAAGTTCCCGGGGCTGGGCTTGAACTTGAATCCTGCCTTAGCCTCCGGAGTGCTGGTGATACAGGGGGACTAGGTGGAACTCCCAAACCAACTCCATGTCCCACACGCTACGTTCCTGTTCCCCACCCTGGAAGTACGGATCTCAGGACCGACAGAGGTTAAGAGAAGGAAATTTTATTGAGAGCAATAAAAAGAGACAGACAAGGCTGGGCGTGGTGGCGCACGCCTGTTACCCCAGCACTCGGGAGGCTGAGGCTGGAGGATCGCTGTGAGTTCGAGACCAGCCTGGGCTACATCGTGAGTTCCAGGTCAGTCTCGACTACACACTGAGACCCTGTCTCAAAAAAGAGAGACAGACAAGAGGGCACCGGAAGGTGGTCTCGGGACTCCACTCACAGCAGGGTTTCAGGGGGCAAAGTCAAGGGGCGAAGGGGCAGGCACAAGGCGGGGCACAGCTACGACCGGCCGGTCGGGTTGCAGCAGAGGTCGCTCCTGCGGGGTGGGCTCACTCAGCTGTCACACGTGGGCCCTTCCCGCGTGGGTGCAGTGGTCGCCCGTGAGGCTCCCCGGGCAGGGGCCGCGTCTCCCCCTCTGCTCTCCTGACCCTGGGTCTAAGCCGGACAGGCCCCAAATGCGTTTGTTTGCATTTAAACCGGTTTTATTGCCCCGTTTTTTAGCATTTTACAGCAGTCCGAAAGCAGCGCTGGTGGAAGCGTTCACAGGACGTGGCCAGAGGACGCAGAGTCCCGACGGAGCCGCTGCTGTCGCAGTGTCCTCGGCGCACAAGGCCACGGAGAGAGCACAGGGCAGGCACCGAGGCCCGGCCTGGCTGAAGCCGAGCCTGGATTTGGGCCTGCTCTTCTAGCTCAGTTCGCGTCCGGTTCGTCTGGGCCGATGGGACGAGTGCGGAATAAACGCGCATTTAGCCAAGGGTGGCGCAGGCCTGTAATTTCAGCGCCCGGGAGGCTGAGGCAGGAGGATCACGGGGAGTTAGAGGCCAGCCTGGGCCACATAGTGAGGCCCTACCTCAAAAGGAAAAAAACAAAAACCACCAGTGAATAAATAACCCAAACAAAATAAATACAAATCTTGAGTGAAAGAATAAGCAAGGTTTACTTTTGGTATATCAGCCCAACGCTCTCTTCTTCCAAAAATAAATTCAGGGCTGGAGAGAAGGAGCTCCAAAGAAAATCTGAAAAACCCTGGCTTGTGAGTGCATTGTGCAAAAGGGTTTTTTTTTTTTAAGGGGCTTTTTTTTGGTCTTTTTTTTCACTTTTCTTTTTTGGTACCGAGGATCGAACCCAGGGCCTCGCGCTTGCCAGGCAGGCGCTGCGCCGCTGAGCTACATCCCCGGCCCGGAGGAGTCTCCCGCGCCGCCCTATTTCTGTGCCGCGGCGCTGACTCGGCTCCGAGGATCCAACCAGGAACGCGGAACCGGACCGGCGCGGAGCCCGCCGCGCAC